GTGCAGGACCTTGCACTTGGCCTTGTTGAACCTCATGAGGTTCACACGGGCCCACTTCTGGAGCTTGTCCAGGTCCCTCTGGATGGCATCCCGTCCCTCTGGCGTGTCGACCGCACCGCTCAGCTTGGTGTCATCTGCAAACTTGCTGAGGGTGCGCTCGATCCCGCTGTCCACATCCCTGACAAAATGTTAAATAATACTGGTCCCAGTGCGGACCCCTGAGGGACCCCACTCGTCACTGGTCTCCGCTTAGACATCGAGCCGTTGACCGCAACTCTTTGAGTGCGACCATCCAGCCAATTCCTCATCCACCGAGTGGTCCACCCGTCAAATCCATGTCTCTCCAATTTAGAGACAAGGATGTCGTGCGGGACAGTGTCAAACGCTTTGCACAAATCCAGGTAGATGACATCAGTTGCTCTTCCCTTACCCACCAACACTGTAACCCCGTCGTAGAAGGCCACCAAATCTGTCAGGCACGATTTGCCATTAGTGAAGCCGCGTTGGCTGTCACCAACCACCTCTGTTTTCCATGTGCCTTAGCATAGTTTCCAGGAGGATCTGCTCCATGATCTTGCCAGGCACAGAGGCGAGACTGACCGACCTGTCGTTCCCCGGGTCTTCCTTTTTTCTCGGGGGTTATGCTTCTCCTTTTCCAGTCACTGGGAACTTCACCGCACCGCCACGACTTTTCAAATACGATGGACAGTGGCTTAGCAACTTCATCTGCATCAGTTCCCTCAGGACCCGCGGATGCATCTCATCAGGTCCCATGGACCTGCGGACTTTCAGGTTCCTTAGATAGTCTCAAACCTGATCTTCTCCTACGGTGGGCAGTACTTCATTCTCCCAGTCCCTGTTCAAAGAACACCGGACATTTCTGCGTGCCTGTAAGCGACTCTGCCCCACGTACCATGTCTGTGCCGTAGACCGGGGAGGTCATCTTGATCTCCCAGAAGTGCTGCCCGTCTGCCAGCTCTTTGTTCCCCCGGACGGCGGCGGTGCCGCAGCTGTACTCCATGTGGAAGTTCACCTTGCGGTTGTCGCAGGTCAGCAGGGTGGCCGTCGACTTATTCAGGTCGTCCCACACCCAGTCGAAATCTGTTCGGGAAGCACAGAGGGGACAAGGATGGGCAAAGGCCCTCAGGGAGCGATCCCCAAGCCAAAGCACAGGCAGACGTTAGTTTTGAAGGCCTGTCAGGGGGTTGTTTTGGGTTTTTTTTTACCATTTAAGAGGGTAAATCCTAAGCTGTGCACACTGGAGAGTTGTTTGAGGCCTGAACTATTCTGCAGTGTCCCACCGGGATGGTTCGGTGCTCTGAACCCGAAGCTGTTGGCATTACCCAGCCCCCTTTTTGGCTAACACGAGCCACAGCTCCCATTTTGGCTAACACGAGGCTCCGCAGACCCAGGCAGAGCCTCCTTTCTTCCTACACTTCTCGTAGGCTCAACGGGTAGCTCCGCTATGCCACAGGCTTTCTCGGCCAGCCCGAGCCCACCCTCTGCCTACCTCTCCCCTCTGCCCTGAGCACGCCCTGCCGCGCACCCTGCCAGCCGTACCAGGGATCAGCGGCCAGAGGGCTGTAACCACGGGGGCTGGTTTCACTTGTGGCCTCAGCTGGATTTGAAAGCAGGTCCCCAGAGGTGAACTCTGATGCGTTAACAAGTTCAGCACTTAGCCCTTGAAACATCACAGGAGGCACGTGCTTGTAATCTTCCTACAGACTACGTGGCCTTGAGATGTAAACAAAGGAGCACCACCGCACGCTGGGACAGAGATAAGGGCCCCGTGGAAAGCAAAGGATCCGCACAGGGGTGCAGTCCGTGCCGCCAGGCCAGGACTGCACCCACCTCAAACCCCAAAGGACTACGGCGGGCCGTTGGGATGCCCCTTCCTTACACTCGTCCTCCTCGCCGCACTGGCAGTCCTTGACGCGGTGGAGGGCATGCAGGCTGGAGAAGTAGGGCGCTTCGCTCTGGCTCTCGCAGTTGCAGTAGGACTCCCCGGTCACAGGGATGGCGCTCGGGATGGAAGGCGAGAGGGAGGAAAACTCTGGCTCCGAATCCGAGTCGCTGTGCTGCCGGGGAGAACGGAGGAATGGTCACTGCTGAACGCCCCCAGGCTCGGGGAGCTGGGCTGGCAGAGGTCTGCGAGGCCTCAGGCACCGCAGAGCTGTGCGGGGAGGTCCCCAGGCTCGTGCCAGAGCCGGCGGCAGCACGGCTGCATCGTGCCCCGGCCTGGCCTGCCACGCAGGGGCCGTGCCAGTCGAATTACCCTGCTTTGGGACCTGGCTAGCATCTGTCTGAGCTGCAGAGACCTCTCGGCACGGGGCACTGTACGATGTGGGTACGTTCTTTGTGCCTTCCAGGGGCGAGGAGCTGTCACAGCAGGCAGGCAGCGTGACTAAGTCTTTAACACAGGTATTTTTAAGCAAACTCTGTGCTAAAGCTACGGCTTACAATGGGCAGGTTACAGCCAGCTGGAGACCCGGGCCAAGGCATCACAAAACCGGAGCACGCTGCTGAAAACCACTGCTCTAGAGAGCCTGGGAGCTGACAGAGAAGAGAGGGAGGCAAACAAGACGAGGAGGAAAAGGGACAGGAGGCCAGACAGGGGAGAGGGCAGAACAAAGGGGAACCAGTTCAGCAGTGCGGCTGCAGCTCCTCACGCCAGCGCTGCAGACAGGCCCACAGGGAACCTACGGAAGGATTAAAAGGCTTTTGTTCACTTTCATGCATGAACACAAAAACTCGATTTACTATTCCCCAGTGCCAAGAGACCAAAGTGTCCCTGCACTGGACGCTGTAAGAGTCAAAGCCCCGTCTCGCTCTCTATGTTACGGGAGGCTTGGTGTCGCCTAATGGAGTCTCTTACCACAGATTACAGCGAGTTACTCTGGGTTTACATGCCGGTCAGGTGTACCTGCTCGTTATTCACCCCCATGGCAGACTTTGTAAGCAGTATTTAAAGACAAAAATCCTCCAAACTCATGTTCTTGCAGCTGTGTGAAATGACTCGGGCTTACTTACGTGCTGCCCACCCCTCCTTCTCCAGCCTGCGCATTAAAAAGCTTGATTCCTGTCTTTCATTGGCCTAACCACTGCTATCTAGAAATCCAACCATTCCCGTTACCGCAGAAACACAAAGCTACTCTGACTGCAGAGAAAAGGCTCATTTTCTGGGAGCGGAGTGCCTGGGTTTGGACACCATGCTCTGGCAGTGGCCTCGTAAGGCTTTAGCCTAGCTTTGAAGCTCCAGGAGCAGCTCCTTGCGTCCCTGCCGCTGCACAGGGAACTGAACTCACACACTCAAGAACTGGGGAAAAGAGTGAAGGATGGCGGAGGTGAATCTAAGTCACTCCTCGCACTGTTTTACTGACTGCTCTTCCTGCCGTCTTCCCATCTTCCAGCACACCTGCGTGCCCGGGCCAGGTTCAGAAGTGGTGTGCACGTTACAGCACAGGAAACGCGAGAGAATTTCAGTTCAAAGATACCCGAGACTGTTAACTTCACAGACTGAAGCAGCCCCACTCCCTCCACCAGCATCTACCAGCCGCACAAAGACCAGAAGTTAGCACAGCCGCGCAGCGAGCCAGGCTGGAGAACGGATCCAGTTGAAACACATATTTAGTGTTTAAAATATGTGCGCGCGGTGGCGCGCGCCCGTAGTCCCAGCTGCTCGGGGACTGGCTGGGCATCGGTCGGCGGGTGGTGAGCAATTGTACTGTGCATCACTTGCTTTGTGTATTATTATTATTATCATATTATTATTATTATTATTATTTTATTTCATTTATTAAACTGTTTTTATCTCAACCCACAAGTTTTTCTCACTTGTGCTCT